CCTCACAAAAAAAAAAAAAAAAAAAGAAAAGGGAAAAGATTCCATGGGAGATGTTGCATTAAACAAAATTGATTTGTTAAAAAAAATTTTTTCGAGTGCCCACTTTTGTGCCAGGCACTTTGTGTATTAGATATTGGCTATACAGAGATGAACAAAACAGACATGATCCTTGTCTTCATGGAACTAAGAGTTGAGTAGGTTTATTTACTGTTATGATTTCTTAGTCTTTTAAGATACTTGTGTGTACTGTGACTTGGCAAGAGAGAGATTCAGGATGAGACTTTCTTAAAACTTATTTGACCACAGAACTCACTTGAGGATGAAGACATATCTTATGGTAATAGTGTTCCTTAGAACATACTTTGAGAAATAATTACCTTAAATTCTAGACACTGATCTGGGAATATAATTTTTCTGCCTTCTACTTGATCACAGTATTCTCTGTATTGGAAGGTGGATGGCTTTAACCAACAAATCCATTGTGTGTGTCTCTGTATGTTATGGTGAATTTATGGTGTATACTGTTAGAAAATGTCAATATATTGGGTCAAAGAAAACTGATGGCCCTTAAACATGTTTTTTGGAAAAAGACTGAACGTATATAAGTAAGTAAAACTGGTAACTAATTTGAGTGGGGCAGAAGAAATTGAAATCTTCCTGACTCTTTGAGTTTAACATGGAATATGTATGGAAAAAAAAATCCATTTAGACCATTTAACTGGATAGGTGCATGGAAAGTGGGAAGCCCAATTGTAGCTAGACTCCTTGAGTCATGGGGCCTGAGTCAGTCCCAGCTCTGCCAAATCACCTAAAGCCTCCATGAGCTGTGTCTTTGTGTAAGTGGGGTTAATAACCTCTTCTACCAAGTTCTTAGAAGTCTCAAATGAAATATCTGTAAGTGAAATATGTAAGCACATGAAGTGAGAGGGACAGTGTTTTGCCAGAAATCCAAGCCACTTGAGAGTTGCTAGCTAAGGGAGCATATCAAATTAAGTGTCGGGGGGACGGGTTGCCTGAGGAAGCTGTTTCCCTTATGCTTTGGGCTAGGATAGATTTAAATGTGGAACACCAGTTCTTGATGTTGGTAGGAAGATGGGAGTGTTTTGGTTGGTCCATCAGCCTGTGTTGAGGTGTTCCCAGCCATACTAGGGTAATCTCTGTGAGCTAGTAATTTCTGCGAGCCAGTAATTTTTGCTTGCCCTGGTGGAGCAAGGGCCTTTTTAAAAAGGCCCTTGAGTCGTGGGGACTGAGTGGCACAATGTGGCCCTTGCACCTTTTCCAAGCTAGATTGATAACTGGAATAAGATAAAATCCTTTAATTTGAAGTGAAACATTAGCACAAGTCAATAGGCCAAAGCTGGTGCTGTATGTATCTAACACAATTTTAAAAAACAGTCTCCTAGAAGTGATTTTGTCACTCATCTTGTGTATCATTTCTTCAGAAGAACCTAAGGTTCACTGTCAACACTGCTTGCCATGTTGTCTTCAAGTTTCACATGTGCACTCTAACGCTGGTAATGCCAGCAGTGCTACAGAAGTTTGTCTTTTTTTTGTGCGTGTGTGAGGAAGGTCAGCCCTGAGATAACATCCATGCTAATCTTCCTCATTTTGCTGAGGAAGACCGGCTCTGAGCTAACATCTATTGCCAATCCTCCTCCTTTTTTTTTTCCCCAAAGCCCCAGTAGATAGTTGTATGTCATAGTTGCACATCCTTCTAGTTGCTGTATGTGGGACGCGGCCTCAGCATGGCCGGAGAAGCGGTGCGTCGGTGCGCGCCCGGGATCCGAACCCCGGGCCGCCAGTAGCGGAGCGCGCGCACTTAAGCGCTAAGCCACGGGGCCGGCCCTGCAGAAGTTTGTCTTGATTGTTGCCCTGAAATCATTCTGCTCTCCAAATTGATTCTTTTTTTTAAAGGTCATATTTATTGAGGTATAATTTTCACACAATAAAATTTAATCTTCTTTAATTGTACACTTCTGTGAGTTTTGACAAGTGCACGTAGTCATGTAACCACCACCACCACAATCAAGATAGAGAATAGTTTGATCACCCTCCACATTTCCCTCATGTCAGCCCCTCCCTCCACCCCCAACTCCTGGCAACACTTTGTCCCTATAGTTATGCCTTTTCCAGAATGTCCTATAAATGGAATCATATTCCTGATTAATTCTTAATCTGAAGAAAACCTGGTAAAATTCTAACTTTTTCCCAAACGCGCAGATGTCATCATCTTAGTGTCAGTTCCAGAGGAGCCGTGTTTTTAGGAGGGAAAGTGGTCATTTTGCTTGGCTAGTGTTGCCCAGTTTTTCCTGGCCTCCTCGGGTTTAGGGTTGTGTACATCCTGTGCACAGTCCCCCCCCCACTACTCCATGTACCTAGCACTAATGATGTGGAATACATCTAAGATGGGCATTCTCAGAGAGTGTCTGAAATTTATAGGTCATCCTGTATTGAGTGTGACCAATAGTTCTAGCAGCTCAGAATTAAATATTTTATGAAACTTCCCATTAATAAAGAAAATAACTTCTTAAAAAGTGAAGTAAATACAAATTGCTTTCAGTAAAATATTAGTTAGGCTAAGTATATAAGTTTTTTTTTGATAGCCTGTGTAAGAACTGTCATTTTTGTCCTTTTACAGAAGGGGTAAGGTGGGAGGTAGGCGGAAAACTGCTGCAGCCTGACACCATTCTGCCTAGTGGGATACCATCATAGACATGCCTACAGCTGTCTGCCTGGGAATGCCTCAGATGCATCAATATAAGAACGAAGACATTTAAAATCACAGTGTAGTGTCTGAGTGCTGTTATCTAATGGTACTTACGATATTCTGTAGCTGTATTTCATTATTTTCTCAATCCTATGTGAAGACACACAAAAAAGTGTCTATACTAACTTATAAAAACCAAAGAGAAACCCAAGGAAGATAAACAGTGTAGTTATCTATGTTTATTAATCTCTGAATATTTGATAAGTTCGAGATTTCCATATTAAAAGTTATTTTATAGACCTGGTTTATTATCTTTGACATGCCAATGATGTTTCCAGATGAAAGGAAATGTATCAGGTGACAAATAGAAGGAATCTTTTTGTTCTGATTGGTTTGTAGAAATTTATGAAACTTAAAAAATTGGGGGTGGGGGGCTTTCTTTTTTTTTAAGGCTATGAAAATGATTCCGTGGAAGACTTGAAGGAGATGACTTCAATATCCTCTCGGAAGAGAGGGAAAAGAAGGTACTTCTGGGAGTATAGTGAACAACTCACGCCATCACAGCAAGAGAGGATGCTCAGGCCGTCTGAATGGAACCGAGACACCTTGCCAAGTAATATGTATCAGAAAAATGGCTTACATCATGGTAAGAGGGGATTGCTGTCAAATATTTCATGTCACTTTAAATAGAGATACTAAACCATAATGCTTACTCAGTGTACCTACGTATTCAACCCTTTCTAGCAAACTGGAGAGAGGAATAGTAGAGCTGCGTATTTGCTATGACTACCAATACACTCACAAATAAATAGCTTTTACCGGTATTGAAAGCCATCACCTAAACAGGGAGGAAGGCTGTGTAAAAATGATTTCTAGTCACTTCTTATTCTACTTATCCTACTCAGGAAATGACCAGGAGACTGCTGAGTCCTGACCTGTCATAGTTGCTATAAACCAGAAGGGTTGGGGAGCAACAGAATGGGCTCCAACATCCCTGTCTTCCCTGCTCATCCAGTCTCCAGGCTGTAATGTAAATGAGGAGATTGGTATCAAAACAATGGTGGGAAGACAAGAGAAGGGGAAGGAAAAGAAAGGAAGAATAGTTGTGGAGCGAAAGGAATGGAGAGAGAAGAGTTGAATAGTAGGAGTCAGGAGAAGCTTATAATCTTAGGAAGGCCAAATTTTGAATTGTGAACCTAGAAAGATATAGTTAAGTAGAATGTCTTCTGCATAAATGTTATTTCTGCATTAATCCAAAGTCTTTACCAAAAGAGGAGAGGGCACTAGTAAGTTTGGTGCTCAGTAAATAGTTTAGTAATCACTCATACTACAGATTTAAGTTGCTAAGCATTTTTGACACAGGAATTGTATCAGAAGTGTATTTGTGCCTCATTTTCCCTTTCCATTGGCACTCAGGTCTGTACTCCACTGTCTTTCAGTGAATAAAGACCTAATTTTTGCCTTCAGATCAGTTTTCTACCAGAAAGGAAAAGACAGGTCCAGTAAGTAGTTGCAGGCAGCATGTGGTGAATACTAGGAAAGTTGTTTGGTGTATTGTAGTTGAGAGGACAGAGCCATCTGTCTTGCCTGCAGTGATAAGGCAAGACCCTTTGAGTCTTCCATAATGCTGTTTTTCAAACTAACCAAAGAAGAGCTTTCAAAAAAAGCAATCCTTATTTGATGGACTTTTGAATTCACTGCGAGAATATATACATCTGACAAATATTCAGTCATAGCATCAAAACATCTGGGTTTGGGTAAAATCTCCAGATTCTTTTCTGACTGTATATTATACCCTGGCCCTGATTTTTGTGTGCAGGTGAACTTGCACTCCAGTCCTGAGTTTTGAGATGCTTATACTGCCATGCAGATAATTAAGAATCTGTCATGCTGGGGCTGGAAACCTAAGGTTGAGAAAGACTTGTAACAGGCTGGAGTGTGCCATATTACCCCCATTTCTTGCAGACACAAGGTGGGGAGGAGAGGAGGCTGGCCCTTCCAGCTTAGGTGGTCAGCATGCTGAGATGTCTGAAACATGCCAAGACTTCTGAAGAAGAAAAGGGGCGGGGGGAAGTGGGTTTAAAATATGGCTGTAGAAAATGTATCTCTTGTTAAATAAAATGATCTAACTTAAACTTCTTTTAAACCATCTATAGGAAAATATGCAGTAAAGAAGTCACGGAGAACTGATGTAGAAGACCTGACTCCAAATCCTAAAAAACTACTTCAGATAGGCAATGAACTACGGAAACTGAATAAGGTGATTAGTGATCTGACTCCAGTCAGTGAGCTTCCCTTAACAGCCCGGCCAAGGTCAAGGAAAGAAAAAAATAAGCTGGCTTCCAGGTAAATGCTAATCGTGTTCGCTCATGTGAATAAAGTCTAGGAGGTGAGGTTAGACTTTCAGTGAGCTTTTATAGAAGAGATGATCCTCAACCATTTATTCACAAATATACTTTTCTCTTATAAATACTACAATGAGAGTATCGTGATTTTTTTCTTTGAAAGTAAAAGATGTTATTTATGTTTCATGGAAAAAGTTTTTAAAGGGAAGAGGTGAATGGACTCAAGTGCATTATATTATCGTATAACAATGAAAAAACTTACCATAACTTTATTTTTTGTTTTGTAGTAAGTCAGGTTTTTTTTTTTTGAGGTATAATTTACTTCTGGTAAGCTTCATCCCTTTTAATGTACACTTTTCTGAGTTTTGACAAACATATCCAATCATGTAACTACCACCACAATCAGGATATTGAATGTTTTCTTCACCTTAAAAAATTTCCTCATGCCTCTTTGTAAAAGTAAACCCCTTCTCCCACCCCTAACCTCTCACTGCCACCGATCTGTTTTCTGTCCCTATAGTTTTGCCTTTTCTAGAATGTCGTATAAATGGAATCATACTATAATGTAGCCTGTTGAGTCTGGCTTCTTTGACTTAACATGATGCATTTGAGAGTCATCCATGTTGTTGCGTGGAGTAATAGTTTGTTCCTTTTTATTGCTGAGTAGTAGTCTTTTGTAGGGATATACTACAGTTTATCCATTCACCAGTTGAAGGACATTTGGGTTGTTTCCAGTTTTTGGCAATTATGAATAAAGCCACCACAAACATTCACTTATAGGTGTTTGTGTGAACATTAAGTTTTCATTTCTCTTGGGTAAATACCTGAGAGTGTATGTTTAACTTTATAAGAAACTGCTAAAGTAGCTATTTCCAAAGTAATGAAGTAAATTTAAAAAATATTTACTATTTTCCAAAGTAGCTGTGTGTACTATTTTACGTCCCCATCAGCAACAAATGAGAGTTCCTCTTAACTTCACATTCTCTACAACACTTGGTATTGTCAATTTTTGTTTGTTTATTTGGGTGTATTGGTCATAGCTTCATTTTTGAATGTGTACTAAAATTTTTAAAAATCAGTTTGGATAAAAGGTTATATTGTGTGTTTTTGGTTACCAAGTTCCTTGATATAAACATCAGTAGACAGTGATTTTTGGTTGCTATTAGAAAATGTTTGACAGCAGCAAAAAGAAGTATATTCTGAATGTTCACTTAAAAAAAAGTGAACTAATTGCTTCTTCCTTTCACAGGGCTTGTCGGTTAAAGAAAAAAGCCCAGTATGAAGCTAATAAAGTGAAATTATGGGGCCTCAACACAGAATATGGTAAACCTAAACTTTTAAGAATTTGATTAACTTCCTTTTACTTTGCTGACCACTTTCTTTTTCTTTGGTTTTGTTATTTGCTTTCCCTGTATTCTGCCCAGTTTTAGTCCAGCCTTCTTTTTGTTCCTCCATTCAGTAAGCTACATACTCACTTTTATTCATTCATGTCCTCCTTTTAGTGTTGAGTGTCTGTATCTGTGGCTACCAAAGCCAAATCTCATCTCTACCCGAAAGAGCTCATCCACTTGTAACCACAGTCATCTCTTCCTTCCATTTTATAATTGTGTTGCTGGGTTGGCCAATTTTGTTGACTAATGTTTATTTTAACCTTTGAGTGGATAGTTTAGGTTTGTGCTTTACAAATTTGATTGCTCATTAAAATCTTCTGTGTACACGTTAAAATAAAGATTCCTAGGCTTCTCCCCAGATCCCCTGAATTGGAGTCTGTGCAAGTAGAACCCAGGAATTCATATTTTTACCACTTCCCAGATTATTCTTATGCAGCCGTCCTAGCACATATTTGGGAATTATTGGTTTAGATGAATGCTTCCCAATCTTTCACATCATGGCACATGAAGAAAAGGATCATCTCTAAGGCATCCCGGAATATAGCAGAGTAGGCTGCTCATGGGAGGAGTCCCCTATGGGCTGAGACTATCATTATCTCGCACACCTAGAATCCTTTTACAGCACACTAGAGAGTTGGAAAGCTCGGGTTTTGATCTTTTGTCATAAGAACCACCCCTCCTTTCCCCATTGCTCTGTTACTGTTCCTTAAACCTGGTATCATAAGAGTTTGTATGTTCCTTTGCCTCTAAAATTGTCCTCTTCACTGTGTAGCTCTTGGGCTAAGTGGTATCTGAAAATGGAGCAGTGGCAAAAAGGATGAATTATTATTTGTTTCTAGAGGTTTTCTTAAGTCCAGCATGATGTCTGGCACATAGGTGCTCAATAAACTTTGTGAGGTTTTTCTTAATCCTTTATCTTGATTATCTTGTTTCCATTTGTGAGGGCAGAAAGAGGATTTCCAACTGTGAAGTTTACAACTTGTGAAATGAACTGATGGTTTTATTTATTAATGGCCACTCAGGAACTCTAATCAAGGTAAATGAATTAGGTAAAATGATAGTTGGTTTGCTAGAATGGAAATTTATCCATTTTCCTATTATTCTTTCTTGCTGTTGAAGCATTTTTGACCTTGAGCTCTGTGGGGGTGTGTGTGTATATATATATATATATATATATATACGTGTATATATATATATATATATAATGATTGCAACGTTATAGGCATTCATATTTCATTTTAGAACCCTGCTGACTCACCCTGCAGGGAGATGTGGTGGGCCACTGGGAGCCTTCTGGGTCTATGTTTCTTTGGACACATGTCAGCATTTATCTGTGTGTTTTTCAGTTAATGTATTTATCCATAATTATGTACATCTGTGTGGTTATATATTTTTGCATTTGTATATATGCACATGCACGCCCACAAGCATATGCTTTCTGTCTGTGATGTAAATATATTCTGGAGTGGAGAACAATTGAGAAGTTGGCAAGGGCCGGGAGTATGTGTGATTCTGAATGTGTTGTTCTATCTCAAATTGAGTTTTGATAACTGCCTGAAATTTTTCTTGTTTCCAAAGCTAACTTAAAGCCTCTGATATTTTCATGCAGGAAAAGGCTTGTCCTTACAAGGTAGCGTTTTCTTCTCAGTTAGGCGGCATGGAGGAGGAGGATCTTCTCATTCATTTATTTCTCCTCCACTTCTTTTTTGCTAGTGTCTCTTCTCCAGTCTCTGGGAGAGAGAGCCTCAACTATTGGTTTAGAAGGCATCTCAGAACCAATGAGATGCCCTTGTGTAGTTTGCCACATGTAGTTTGAAAATTCTTCCCAGAGTTTCTGGTACATCTTGAAAGGGTATGGTGCCCTTGATTCCTCTAAATATCTGGGAGTCACTCTGTTACTGCTTTGTGGAACACTTATTATCCATTACCTATCTGTTAACCCAGTGGTTTCTAGAATTTGTGATTCACAAATCAGTGACATTTGAAAAAAATTTTGGGACTTGGGAACCATAGGCTTGCCAACTTTATGTTTTGCCAGGTGAGGACATTAAAAAGAACATCATCTGTAATTACTGTAATTTCATACAAGGAAGGATATTTTAGCATTAAAAAATTGAGACAGACATAATCTCATAATAGAATAAAATTAGCTTTATTAAAAATTTACTCTATTGTCCTTATCCTTTTTAATTTGTCACAAACTAGTACTGTTTCAAGGACCAGCTTCAGGGACCTAGTACTCTACTACTCATCCCATTTGGTCCCACCAAACCTTCTCCTTCTATTGATTCCTTCTACCAAAGCTCACAAGAAGCTGCTCTGTGACTCACATGTAGATTTGTTGACTCAGAATGGGAAATAGAACTGTTGAGAGGACTGGACCTTCACTGACTGACGTATTTTGTCCCTAAGCAAGCTATATGGGAAAATTAAAATTGGAAGAATTGTGAATGAACGCAGAATCACAGCAGGAGGGGTCAGTTTGTAGATTTAATGTTTGGCCTCAATTTCTGAGTGTCAGATGCCTCCGTTTCCCAATCCAGAAGTTTTTGGTAGTGTAGCAGCCCTTCGCCTCTACCCTCCCTACACCCAGTGTGCTGGGATGGACACTACCCAGGTTTGAGAAGAGCTATTCTGCTCTGTTTTAATTTTGATTTTATAGTGTTATTATTTTTTTTCTTTTTTAAAGTGACCTTATTTACTTGTTGAGGATAGGGGAACCTCATTGTTTCTCATAAGTCCAGCCTGCATATAAATGTCCTGATAATCACGCACCGCATAAGGTTTTGGTCAATGATGGACTGCATATATGACAGTGGTCCCATAAGATTATAATGGAGCTGAAAAATTCCTATTACAGCATCGTAGCCATCGTAATGGTCATAACACAAGGCATTACTCACATGTTTGTGTTGATGCTGGTGTAAACAAACCTACTGTGCTGCCAGTCATATAAAAGTATAGCACATACAATTATATGTACAGTACACAATCTTTATAATGATAATGAATGACTGTTACTGGTTTATGTATTTACTATACTATACTTTATCATTATTTTACAGTGTATTCTTTCTACTTATATAAAAAAAGTTTACTGTAAAGCAGTATACCATGTTATGCTGGCGGCAGCCTCATACATTTTGTGTTTACCCTGTGTCTTGACTGCATCATTTTCTCTTGTGCTTGATTTAATCTCATGTTGTTTTGTCCGTCGTGGCCCCTAAGCGTACAAAATCCACTGCTAATGTTGGCAGTAAGAGCCCACGTTGAGTGATTGACCTGGAAATGAAATTAAAAGTGATTAAGGACTACGAAGGTGGAAAATCAGTTATGGTTATTGCTCGCCAGTCAGGCGTGTGCCAAGCCACCATAGCTACAATCTTGAAGAAGAAAAACAAAGTGACGGAAGCTGTTAAAGGATCTGCTTCATTGAAGGCAACGAGACTAACATAAATTTGAGAAGGGCCTATATCAGACATGGAAAGACTTCTAAGGACCTAGATTGAAGACCAGACGCAGAAGTGTATCCCTCTCAGCACTATGACAATCATGGCCAAAGCAAAAGTTTGTTTGCAGTGTTGAAAGAAAAGACTAGACCCAACTACAATGTTGAATTTACTGCTAGCTCTGGGTAGTTTAAATGATTCAAGAATCGTTATTCATTATATAATGTGAAAGTGAGTGGTGAGTCTGCAAGTGCTGATGTGGAAGCAGCTGAAGACTTTTTGGAAACTCTAGATAAACTCTGATCGTGGAGGAAAATTACTTGCTAGAGCAAATATTCAGTATGAATGAAACCTCTCTATTCTGGAAACGGATGCCTGGAAGAAATTTCATCTGTAAAGAGGTCAAGTCAGTGCCAGGTTCAAAGCTTTTGAGGGCAGGATAACAGTCTTGCTTGGAAGCAGTGTCGCGGGCTACAAATTGAAACCCTTTGTGATCTGGCACAGTGAGGACCCCAGGGCCTTCAAGCATGTCAGTAAGCACACCGCCAGTGTACTACAGGAGCAATAAGAAGTCATGGATGACCCAGCTCCTCTTCCAAGACGCCTTCCTGAATTGCTATGCCAGTGAAATGGAGAAATACTGTTTGGAGAATGACATACCTTTCAAGATTTTGCTTATCGTTGGTTACGCTCCCGGATATCTTCTTTTTGTTGATGATCTTCATCTCAACATCAAAGCAGTGTTTCTCCATCCAAACACCACCTCTTTGATCCAACCAATGGATCAAGGAGTTACAGCAGCTTTTAAGGCCTACTACCTGATGAGGACCTCTGCCCAGGCTATTGCTTCCACTGAGGAAGATACTGATGCAATTCTGGAGGGATTACAGCATCTGTGCTGCATCAAGAACTTTGCTTGGGCTTGGGGTGATGTCACCAAGGAATGTATGAATGGCATCTGGAAGAAGATACTCAAGAGGTTTGTCCATGACTTCAGAGGATTTGCCAAGGATGAGGAGGTTGCAGAAATCAACAAGGCTGTGGTTGAGATGGCAAACAGCTTTAACCTGGGTGTGGAAGAGGATGACATTGAGGAGCTTCTAGAGGTGGTTCCTGAGGAGTGGACTAATAAGGAGCTGTTGCAACTGGAATAGGAATGTGTAGTTGAAGAAGAGACAAGAGAAAAGGAAACTGCAGGAGAAGGAAGTGAAGAAGAGCCTCCAGGGAAATTCACAGTGAAACGTTCAGCAGAAGCTTTTGCAGACCTCCACAACCTCCTTAAAAAGTTTGAAAACGTGAACCCGAACACCAATAATAGGAATGTTCATGGTGCATTATCTGCTTACAAGCAAATCTATGATGAAAAAAATAAACTGAGCAAACCACCATGGACATACTTCTGAAAAGAGTGACACCTCGTCAAGAAGAGCCTCAGGTAGGTCCTTCAGGAGGTATTCCAGAAGGAGGCATTGTTATCATAGGAGATAACAGCTCCATGCCTGTTATCGCCCCTGAAGACCTTCCACTGGGACAAGATGTGGAGGTAGAAGATAATTGAGGATTCTGATGTGTTTGTGTCTTAGTTTTTTAACAAAAAGTTTAAAAAAAAATTGAGTAGAAAACTTATAGAATAAGGATATAAAGAAAGAAAATATTTTTGTACAGCTATGCAATGTGTGTTTTAAGCTAAGTGTTATTACAAAACAGTCAAAAAGTTAAATTTAAAAGTTTATAAAGTAAAAAAGTTACAATAAGCTAAGGTGAATTTATTGAAAAAAATTTTTTAAAAATAAATTTAGTGTAGCCTAAATGTATAGTGCTTATAAAGTTTACAGTAGTATACAGTAATGTCCTAGGCCTTCACATTCACTCACCACTCACTCACTGACTCACCTTTCAACTTTCAGTCCTGCAAGCTCCATTCATGGTAAGTGCCCTATACAGGTGTACCACTTTTTATCTTTTATACTGTATTTTTACTGTAACTTTTCTATGTTTAGATATACAAATACTTCCATTGTGTTACAATTGCCTACAGTATTCAGTATAGTAACATGCTGTACAGGTTTGTAGCCTAGAAGCAATAGGCTATACCATATAGCCTAGGTGTGTGTTAGGCTACACCATGTAGGTTTGTGTAAGTACACTCTGTGATGTTTGCATAACAAAGAAATTGCCTGATAACACATTTCTCAGAACGTATCCCCATTGTTAAGTGATGCATGACTGTATTTGAGTAAATGGTGTTCTCTCTCAGTTATTCATCGAGAAGAAGCATAAATTTCTTGTTTTATGTGATTTAGGGGTCAGCTGTGCTTTTCTTATTTAGTGACATATTTTACATATATTGTCCCTGTGTGTAGTTTTAAACTGTGCTCCCCGCCCCCCAGTTATTTCTCACTTCCCTCTTCACCATCAGTTTAGATTGGTCTCTTCTCAGTCTTACTAGATGAGGGATAACAAATCACTGATTTCAGAGCAGTCTCCGAAGAGATAGAGATTTATTTCAGACCATGGGAATCCTGTGTGTTGAAATTGGAAATGTGTTTTTCCTTAACTATATGGAGAAATAATTGAAGTACAGTAACTCTACATATTTAAAGAGTATAGTTTGATTAGTTTGGACACACTGTATATACATGTGAAACCAATCAAGATAATGAGCATTTCGATCACCTCTAAAAGTTTCTTAGTGCCCCTTTGTAAGCCATCCCTGTCTTCACTCCTATCCCTGGGTAGCCACGATCTGCTTTCTGTCACTATAGATTAGTTTGCAGTTTCTAAAATTTTTTATTAATAGAATCCTACAATATGTTCTCCTTTTTTGGCTGGCTACTTTCACTCAGCTTAATTACTTAAAAATTCCTCCATGTTGTTACCTGTATCAATAATTAGATCCTTTTCATTGCTGAGTAGTATTCCGCTGTATTGGATATACTACAGTTTGTTTATCTCTTCACTTATTGATGGATACTTGGGTTGTTTCTAGCTTCTACTATAACACAGATGCTATGAATAGTCCTGTAGAAGTGTTTGGGTGGACTTATGTTTTAATTTCTCTTCATTAAATACCTAGGAGTGGATTGGCTGGATCATGGGATAGGTGTATATTTAACTTTATAAGAAACTGCCAAACTGTTTTCCCAAGTGGCTGTACCATTTTACATTCTCAAAAACAGTGTAGGAGGTTTCTAGTTGGTCCATATCCTTGCTAACACTTGGTAGGGTCAATCTTCTTAATTTTAACCAACCTAATAGGTGTGTGGCAATATCTCATTGTGGTCTTTTTTTTTTTTTTGTGAGGATGATCAGCCCTGAGCCAATCCTCCTCTTTTTTGCTGAGGAAGACTGGCCCTGGGCTGACATCCGTGCTCATCTTCCTCTACTTTTTTTACATGGGATGCTGCCACAGCATGGCCTGACAGGCGGTGCCTCAGTGCGCGCCTGGGATCCGAACCGGGGCTGCCAGCAGCGGAGCGCGCGCACTTAACCACTGCACCACAGGGCCGGCCCCTCATTGTGGTCTTAATTTGTTTCTTTGATTAATGACATTGAACATCTTTACTGTGCTTATTGGCTGTTCATCTGTTTTTTGTGTGTGAAGTGTCCAGATATTTTACAATTTAAAAAATTTATCTTCTAAAAATTCTATATTTATTCTAAATACAAGTTCTTTGTCTGATCTATGTATTGGAAATATTTTATCCTAGTCTTTGGTTTGCCTTTTTGTTTTCTCATTGACATCTTTCAAAGAGGAAAAATTTTTGATGAAATCCAATTTGTCAATTTTTCCTTCTATAGTTCATATTTTTTGTGTTCTAAGCAACTTTGCCAACTCCAAAATTGTGAATATTTTCTTATGTGTTTTCCCCTAGAATTCATATAGTTTAGGTTTTACATTTAGATTTATGATCCATTTTAGGTTAATTTTTATATATGGTGTCAGATAAGATTTGATGTTAATTTTTTTCCATATGAATATTTAGTTGATCAAGCACCAATCATTGACAAAACTTTCCTTTCCCCATTGAATTGTTTTTGTGTCTTTGTCAAATCAATTGACCCTATATGTACTTCTATTATTTCCCTCCTTCTATTTACTTTTGGTTAATTTTGCTCCTCCTTTTTAAGCTTCATAAGATGGGGAAATTTGTTTTTAAAGCTTTGCCTTTGAAGGACTTGAAGGATTTCATTTGATTTATTTAATAAACATTTACTAAGATCCTGTGATTCGATATACCAGGCACTATCATAGGTCTTAAAGCTATGAAGACAAGTAAGGCAAGTTGCTTACAGGATAGTGGACATTGATACATGTCTGCAATGTGTTATCAAAAGTGGAACATCATTTGAAATTAGTCTCTTTGGATAAGAAAGCTTATAACCATCACTGCTTAATGTTTTCTTACACATTGTCTATTTTTAATTGAATATCTGTTCAATATTAATATTCATAACTAAAAGCAAATTCTTCCCTGTTAGTGATGTGTTCCAAGTGTCTTGTTCTGTCTTACAGATAATTTATTGTTTGTAATCAATTCCATCAAGCAAGAGATTGTAAACCGAGTACAGAATCCAAGAGAGGAGAGAGGACCCAACATGGGGCAGAAGCTTGAAATCCTCATCAAAGATACTCTTGGTAAGAAGAATACTGGATAAATTAATAACAAATAATAACATGCAGTGTGAGATATATGATTCAAGGGGAAATTAAAAATTCTTTTAAGGAAAAACTCAAGTGCTCTCATTGTCGTTAGTCTCCTTTACAAGTAGTTTTGTCTTTTGAGATTGAACATTCATAAACATGTACTGCTGGTTACTACAGTTTGTTATTTAGACCAGTTATTTAGACCATCACTGAACTATTTTAACACTTAGGAAAGATAAACTTCTAGAAACTTGAACCTTCTATGTGGAAAATAAAGATCCCTGAACTGTCAAGCCTGCAGTTTATCCTTTAGTGGAGGTTCTTACCTGTTTGTTTTATTCAGTAATACATTTCACAGGATTCTAACAAACTTAATTATCTAGTTTTCCGTCCCTGAACAGAAGACACAACTTGGAGAGGAACAGTGAGGAAGGCATCCAGAAGTCAGGCAGAGTGATATCTGACAGAGAAGGCAGAGATAGCTAATGTAGACGTAGATATGAGAACTCTAGAGGCCTAGCAGCTTAGCTGCCATATGAGCAAATCACCTTACACATTAGTAGCATCTCTGCGGGCGTTACAGCATAATGCAATTCATGAAAACCCTGAAACATCATAAAATTGGTTCAGCTATATTATGTATTCTTTGTTTAACAGTATTTATTCTAGGAGTCTCTTTTTTTTTTTTTTTTTTTAAACAAATCATCCTCTTATAATTTTATTTATTTATTTTTTTTCCCCCAAAGCCCCAGTAGATAGCTGTATGTCATAGCTGCACATCCTTCTAGTAGCTGTATGTGGGACGCGGCCTCAGCATGGCCAGAGAAGCGGTGCGTTGGTGCACGCCCAGGGTCCGAACCCAGGCCGCCAGCAGCTGAGCACGCGCACTTAACCGCTAAGCCACGGGGCCAGCCCTAGGAGTCTCTTAAAAACTGGTTCTTACATAGTCATTGTGTAGAGTGGTAAACTTCAGTTACCTGAGAATTTTCTTCCAGTTAATTTTCCACAGGATGCTGATTGTGTATTGAATCAGGTCACTTAAAAGAATTAGAGCTTATTTTTCAATCATTGATTAGTTACTTACCTGAATTTTATAGTGACAAACACTATAATTTGTTTTATTTTTTTTACTTGTAAATATCTTGGAATTTTTTTACATTTCTCTTAAGACAGTTTTTCTGACTTGCAGTTACTATAAATTCATTCATTCCACAGATTTTTTTCAGTATGTGCTATGTGCCAGGTATTGGGGGTTACAAGGATGAATAACAGAGACTTGGTCGCTATCCTTATGAAGCTTGTAGTCTAAAAATAGAAGACAGAGCAGGCCGGCCCCATGGCTTAGCGGTTAAGTGCCTGCGCTTGGCTACTGGCGGCCCAGGGTTCGGATCCTAGGCACACACCGACGCACCGCTTGTCCGGCCATGCTGAGGTGGCGTCCCACATACAGCAACTAGAAGGATGTGCAACTATGAGATACAACTATATACTAGGGCTTTGGGGAGAAAAAGGGAAAAAAAGGAGGAGGATTGGCAATAGATGTTAGCTTAGGGCCGGTCTTCCTCAGCAAAAAGAGAGGATTGGCATGGATGTTAGTTCAGGGCTGATCTTCCTCCAAAAAAAAAAAAAATATATATATATATATAAAAATAGAAGACAGAGTATAAACAGAAAAACAAAAATAATAACAAATTGTGGTAAATGCTATGAAGAAATCAAGATGCCTAGATGGAGTGGAGTGAGCAAGAATCATTTATTTCTCTTTATACTTCTCATAGTTACTCAAATGATGGCATTTTCTTTAATTAAAAATAAATACTCATTGAATGCTTCCATGCTCTTAGTAAGTTTCTCATGGTCTTCAAAATTGCTTACTAGTTTCTCTTGGCAGCATTGTGTTCATACTGAATGTAAAATACACTAATGTTTTTGAAGGGCAATTTGGAATCATTGGTAACATTAGCTGTGCATATAGATTTTGACCTAGCAATTTCATGAAATTTGACAATTTTCATATTTGAAGGCCAGAGGAGAAGATATTAAACAGAGATCAAGAGCCAGGAAAAAACGATTCCTTAGGTGTGTTAGGAAAGGATAAACAGCTAATATTTATTGAGTACTTGGTGTGATCCAGGACCTGTCTTTTAAGGGTGTTTAGTCATTTGCTTCTGTAATTCCATGAAGGAAGTATTACTATCCTGGTTTTACAAATGAGGAATTGGAAGCACAGCCAGGTATTAAGTAACTTGCTACAAGTCATACAGCCAGTAAGTGGAAGAACTAGGAGTAGAAGTCAGTTCTCCTCGTTCCAGTGCTCACATTGTACCCACATATTGTCACTTAGCCCTTTCATCTGACACTCATCTCTATATAGTTTCTGAACTATATAGTTCACAAGTGGACCACTAATTGCCTCATCCAATACGCTTACTTGAGAATTATTTTTCTTGACATTCTGTGTAGCATTTGATACATTCTGTGAGCATTTATCTTCATTCTTGAAACATTTTCTTTATTTTAAGGCACTTTAGGTTCTGCGTGCCTTGTTTCCTATCTTTTTACTAAAAAATGCTAGTGGTTTCTCTCTGGCTCTAGTGATACCCACTGGTCATGTGCAGAAATTAAGATTATGTTTTCAAAAAACAAAAGCTCGTTTAGCATAGTGGTTAAAATCAAAGTATTTGAAATCAGTTCTAGATCAAGTCCTGGCTCTGCCGCTTACTACATGAGAACCCCAGGAACGTGACTTCACTTCACTCAACCTAATTTTATTCGTCTATAAAATGTGGACAGTTGTGTGAATTAAATGGGAAGAGTGCATATAAAGCACTTAGCACACTGCTGAACACATAAATTCTCAATACTCAATAAGTATTAGCTATTGATGATGCTACCATATTACATCTTAAACATTTGGATTTTTTTTCTTAAAAAAATTTTAGGGGGCCGGCCCCATGGCTTATTGGTTAAGTGCGCGCGCTCCGCTGCTGGCGGCCCGGGTTTGGACCCCGGGCGCGTACTGACTCGCTGCTTCTCCGGCCATGCTGAGGCCGCGTCCCACATACAGCAAGACGTGCAGCTATGACATACAACTATCTACTGGGGCTTTGGGGGAAAAAAATAAATAAATAAAATTAAAAAAAT